AAAATAAATAAAAAAAATGTTTGAGATCATTGACCTTTCTCATCTTTCCTTTTCCTTTTTTTTTTTCCTTTGCTCTTTGGAAGATTTCTTTAATTTACTTTCTAATCCATATATTGGGATTTTCATTTCTGGTGTAATTTTAATTTCTATAAGCTTATTTTTTCTTTGTATATTTGAATGCGTATTGGAATGTATACATTCGAAGAAAAACTAACACATACCTATCCTTGTTTCTTGGATGCAATGTCTTACCTCTATGAAGATGATAGTGATAATTTTCATTTGCCTACATAGTCCATCCCCTTCAAGTTGCTTTTTACCCTACTTTTTAATTAAGCATAAATGTATATATACATAATTATAACCAGAACAAAATATTGAGTATGAACGAAAAGAAAATTACAGAGTATGTGGAATTACAACCATTTCCCCAAATATTTAAAGGATTTCCTCCTGTGCTGGAAGTAAAACGATGTCAAGTTACAGTAGTCAGTGTTTTAAACCTAGGACATAGTTTTGAGTGAAGTTTGCTGGCTGGAATGAGGTGTGAAGTGACTTTACATGGACTGGGGCATGTGATGCTGACAAAGCAAACTAAGGATTACTCTAAAATTCAAATCTGTGCCTATAAAGGTGCAAATTTAGCATTCTCTGGCATTGGCAATGGAAATAATAAAAATATAGTCAAATTTTCAGAAGTTTTACCGCTATCAGTGTTTTTACCACTGTCAGTGACTGCTAAAGGACTAGATCTAATTTAAGTGCAAAGGGAAGGAAAATACATTATTGAGTTCCTATTATGTACCAGACATTAATCTGAAATTGTAAAATACATTCCCCCAGCAATCTCTACTGTTTTATTCATCTGAACTGTATTACGTCTTATTTGCCTTTGTATCCCAGTGCCCAGTACGGTGTCTCATAACCAGCACTCCGAAGATGTTGAATGCATACAAAAGAAGAGGGAATCTTGTCTTTCATTTACTTTTCTATGTAAAGGGAAGGAGCTAAGTCTGGGTTGCATTGTAGATATTCTGAACGTTTAATTATATTTCTATAATTAAGTTGGAGTAGTTATCAATTTATCTGGCGGGTAGTATAACAATCCAGAACAATAACGGCGTTTTAACTCGATGGAAAACGGGTCCTCTGTGCGGGAGAGGCTGGGCTGTGAGGCCTATCAGCGAGGTAGCGTGTCGAGGGCCCTCCAATCATCCACAGAGGCTGTGGTCCCGCCCCCGGCGGTCAGCCTCTCACCGGTGGGGGCTGAGGCGGGGCGCCACGCCCCGATCTCGGCACCTGAGGCGTCGGTGGTAAATTGTGCCTTGGTCACATCCGCGGCGCGGAGTGGCGTCTGGGAACCAGGTGAGTACCTGCCGGCCAGGAGTAAATTACATCTCCCATCGCAGTTCCCGTCGGGAGCTGGGGTGAAAAGCGGGCCCCGAGAAGCAAATACACGGTCGGACTCGACTGAGGGAGCCGGTTATGGGATGAAGAAACTGGGGGCTTTAGTTTACTGTGGCGGAGGGTGGCGGATATTGGGACAGGGTCGCAACACGGGGGTTGCCGGGGTCGGCCGGCGGCGACTAGTCCTGGAGACCAAAGCCGGGGAGTGGGGAGCAATTTCAGAGGGTCCTAAAGTGCCCCCTGACCGTTGGGTTGACTGTAGAGCTCCGGGTTCTCGGCCGGCCCCTGACCCCTGCCGCTTTCGGCGGCGCTGTACACAGAAACCGTTGCTACGGCTAAGGGAGCCATTTCCTTTCGACCTCCGCCTGCAGGGGGCGCTCGACCCTGTGGTTGTGGAAAGAATGTGCCTGGGGGAGGAAAACAGGTTTTCGTGTTACTTAACCATCTCAGTTTCCGCTGGAGGTATTTCTGTCAGCTGATTAGGGATATGGGAAATGGATGTGGATCAGGATGACGAAGAGATTAAATCCAACTAGAATCAAGGATTTTCCTAATCAAAGAAATTCCAACCGGATGTGGGAGGGTTAATGAGAGCAAATAAACTGTTGTATGATTTTTTTGGAACTTGAGAGTTAACATTTAGTAGTCTTGAAATGTGCATCCCATTGGGGGAAAAAAAAACCCCAAACAAAGTTTTCAAAAAGGATTTTCAGAAAAATGTTAAACCACTGTGCAGAATGAAATTCATTTGATTAGATGAGATGGCTCTGTCATTTAAAATGTTTTTCACTGTATTTTATTCAAATCGTGAAATCTCAGGGGTTGCAAGACAAATCCGAGATCATCCATTTTAATCCTGTTGGATGCTTAAGTTTCTCCCATCAAAGATCTGCCAACTCTTTAGAAAAATTCTCCTAATGCAACCCATTCTGTTCTGGGCAGCATCAATAATTTAAAAGTCCTTCAGGTTGCTTTCCAGTAACTTCTACTCTTAAGGCTATCCTTGTGATGAATTTATCATCATCCTGGGCCCTGCCAGTATAGGGCAAAAACCATCTCATTTTTCAGCTGGATCTCATCGGAAAGCTGCTGACCTGTCTTCTGTGTTCTATGCCCCAGTCAAAGCTAGCAGGAATATGGAGAAGTTGACAGAGCCTTCTCTTCTTTTGCAGAGGTCTGATGTATGACCAGACTCCCAGAGGGCAGGCATGCTGAAGGAGATACTTTTGGTCAGTTAGACCCATTGCTACTTCTTGTTTTAAAATTTATAACCCAATGTGTTTTACTGTAGTGGTTTTTAAAACACTTTGACAGTGACTCACGATGAGAAATATATTTTGCAACATGTGCATTTATGTTCACACTTGTCATTTGTATAGACATGAAATAAAAGTTTTTACAAAGCAGTATTCACTTTAATGGTATGTGAAGTAGTCAGATTTTTGTTGTTGTTGTTGCTGTTCTAGTGTGTCTCATTATAAAACAATGCTAATTGCAGCTCACTAAATTGATTTCAGGGGTTGCCACCCACAATTTGAAAAGTCTAGGTATGATGGCTAAGTGTGTGGGCTCTGCAGTTGCCTACTGAGATTCAAATCCTCAGTCACTAAATAATTATATGACCTTGAGCCAGGTTACTTAAAACACAAACACTTCCTTTTCTGTAAAATGGGAGTAATTATTAATACCCTTCATGAGAGTGGTTTTGAAGATTATGTGAGATAATAATCCATGGCACACAGTAATTTAGCTGCATAACTGTTAACTGTTATTACTGCTCTCTACTTAAAATAAGACCTACCTGATACAGTAGTTGAAAGATTAAATGAGGTAATATATGTAAAATTCTTAGGATGGTACCCAGCACACATTAAGAGTTGTGTAGTATTTGTTGGTGTTATTATCATCAGCATTAGCAACAGCATCATTAAAGTGAAACAGTCCAAGGCTCCCTTTTTCCCAATTCAGCAAGTGTTTCTTAAGGGTATAAGGCACTGCTTATGTTGGTCCTGAATATATGACGATGAATAAAGTAAGATCTCACAATCTAGAAGGGAAGACAAAAATACATAATTAGAATATGTGCTATGAGAAAGGTATGGGCCCAGTGTCATTAGAACACAGCCAGGAGTGGGCAGCAGGGAATGGCAGAGAGGGTGATGTAAAGAACAGTTAAAGGATGTTATTTATGTTTGTGCTGAATCACAAAGCATGGTTGGGGTGTGAACAAACAGCTGAAGTAGAAATTGAAATCAACATTAAAAGCTATCTTAAAAAGCAGTTTGAGGGCGCTTGGGTGGCTCAGATCATGATCCCGGGGTCCTGGGATCGAGTCCCCTGTCGGGCTCCCTGCTCAGTGGGGAGCCTGCTTCTGCCTCTGCCTCTCTCTCTCTGTCTCTCATGAATAAATAAAATCTTAAAAAAAAAAAAAAGAAGTTTAAGCACCTAAGGGGACCAGAATATGCCATCCCCAAATAAGCCATTTAAGCATAAGGATTATTTTAAACTGAAAACAATTAACAGGAAGAATTCTCACCCTCCCCCTTTCTGCCTAATATCAGGGCATAAATTTCCCTTTGTAAAGGTGTCCCCTCCTCCCCGCTCTCACACCAGGAGGAGAACAATCCTCATCATAGTAGATAGCACCAGGAGAAAGCTGCATAAACAAATCTTAATAAGGAAACCATTATCTTTCATTGGTTTCTCCCATATATTTACCTTCTCCTAAAAGCCAAACCCCCTTGTCCTTTGTCTAATCACTTATCCACAACTTATCACCCTTTGTTAAAATGGTATATAGGCTCCCAGGCCTAACAGTTTCTTTGGGTTTTCACTTTTCTATGAAGCCCCGCCCCCCAATGCATTAAGTGTATAAAATAAACCTTTTCTCCTGTTAATGTGTATTTTATCAGTTTAATATGGGAGTCTCAGGCACTGAACCTACATGAGTAGAGGAAAACTCTTTTCCTATTCTATAGCACCACAACATGCTTTGTGTTCAACTTTGCTTAAGTGGAGATTGAGGTAATCTATGTATGGTACTTAGTAATTTAGTTCCATGACTGTTCACTGTTGTTATCAAGGAGAGAGAGTTTAAAATGAGTAGCCTTCCTCTTTAGAGAAAACACACCTCCTTTTTCCATAGAAAGGAAAAATCAATGTTATAGAAATACCTGGATGGGTACTACTATCTAAATTCAGTATTACTATATATATTTGATTCATAACTATTTTCCTATACTACATTTCAGCCATGACTGCCAAAGATTATCCATCATTATGGGGCTTTGGAACAACAAAAACGTTTAAAATTCCTGTGGAACATTTGGATTTCAAGTATATTGAAAAATGTTCAGATGTTAAACACTTGGAAAAAATTTTTTGTGTGCTCAGGTAAGCATTCAAAAATCATTTTATGTTTCAGTATACCAATTATATTGTTGCCTTCTGAAAATTGAAACTCTTAGAAATATTGCAGAACATTTTCACATATTGAGATTGTTGTATTGTTTTGTTTATTCCCATGTTAGGTTCCAAAATTGTTGTTTTGATCCTGTGGTTAGTTTAGAGGGTTCTGCTAGATCTACTTCCAGCATGCAACGTAAGGCTCATCAGTATTCAAGAGGACATTTTTCTCGCTTCCTCCACATTTTCTAGGAAAAGGTAGCCATGAAAGTAGCCATTAGAAAATAAGGTTAGCTCACCAGCCTACCAGTTGATAAAGTTCTTTGGTACTCCCCCCACTCCATACCATCTGCCGACATGGGTGGTGACTTACTGTGAGCTGGTCACAAGGAGAGGATGGTGGGGAGGTCACGAGGTGGGACCAGAAAGCAGGGAATCCAGACCTCTGGGTAAGGGCTCCACAGTGGTGATTGTCAAACTTTAATATAGGTCAAATGTGGTTGTTAAAAATGCAGATTTGAGGGACGCCTGGGTAGCTCAGTCGGTTAAGCGTCTGCCTTCGGCTCAGGTCATGATCCCAGTGCCCTGGGATCCAGTCCTGCATCGGGCTCCCTGCTCAGCAGGGAGCCTGCTTCTCCCTCTGCCTGCAGCTCCCCCTGCTTGTACCCTTGCTCACTCTCTTCTTGCTCACTCTCACCCATGCTCTCTCTCTCTAACAAATAAATAAAATCTTTAAAAAAAAATGCAGATTTGAGGGTCCCATTTCCAGGGACCCTGCTTCGGGAAACCTGGGGTGGGGCCCAGGAACAGGTGTTTTTAATGAGTGCCTGGCTGACTGACATGCAGGTGGTCAAGGGAGCCCACTTCAAGCAGCACTGCTCTGGGGCATCCCAATGGGTGCCACCTATTTGGGATGTGCTGAGGGGTTTTCATTTGGAGAGTAGCCTGATATTGTGGAAGTATTTGTGGAGCGTGAATTACTCCTCCCTGGACATCAGTAGCGTTCCTTTTGTTAGGTGGTAGTTCTGTTTTCTGTCTTCTGGCCCCCGTCCTCATCACTGTGTCCTTTCCTTTTTCTATCTCATCACCTTCAGCCTCCTGTCCTCCCTAAGCATCCCTGCTTGTGCCTGGACACAGTCAATGTCAACCTCATCATTTCTGAAATGGAAAGTGAAACATGTATTTTTCCTTTTTCTCAGCAGTAGAAAAACATTTTCATTTACATGTGGTCAGGACTGATAAAGAAAATGTGACATTTATGTGATGGAAGAGTTTGAAAGCCACACGCTGTTGGTTCTAAGAAATTCTATGAATAGCTTAATTCAGTTATATTGCATTGATTCAGAATTTATTTATTTTTAAAGATTTTATTTGTTTATTTTAGATAGAGTGAGAGAGAGAGATCACGAATGGAGGGCAGAGGGAGAGGGAGAAGCAGGCTCCCCGCTGAGCAGAGAGCCTACCCCGGGGCTCCATCCCAGGACTGTGGGACCATGACCTGAGTTGAAGGCAGACGTTTAACCAACTGAGCCACCCAAGCACCCCCAGAATTTATTTTTAAGAACATTTTATTTGAAAATGGGAATTTTTTCTATTTTTCTAAAAATTTAAAGGTAAACAGACTTATAAGGGGAAAAGGTTGATTTTCCTTCAAAAACAAAGAACAGAGTTCTCCATACAACTCTCTAGGAATGAATTCTGTTCCTTGAGTGGTTGAATTTAGAGGTGTGTTGTTCTGAACCACTCCTCTGCCATTTTCTTCCTATCCCTTTGGGGAAAAAAAAGCTACAAATTCCTCCTTGGGAAGGAAATCCAGTCTGTTTCTGCCTGTCTCTAATACTGAATTTTCATTTATAAGTTAAAATTACCTTATGTAACAAAATGAACACATGTTAAAGAGGGGAGAAAATGTTTATTCAACTTTCAAAGTGTGTGATGGAAACTGGTATCTTTGGAGCTCCATTTTTTCCTTCATTGCATCACTCCATAGATTAACATAAAGATGAAGGTTGTGCCGGTTGAGGAAGGTGAGTGGGAAGCCCATGCACAGCCCAGCCTTCATCCCTGTGCAGGGGCAGCCCTGGAGAGCTCCGCAGAACCCCTCTGCTCCATGGAGCCCAGCCTGCAAATCTACATTGATCTCTAAATAAAGTGGTGACTCCAAAGTTCTGAATTTTTTTGAAGGTCTGGTGAGGAAGGATATTATCCTGAACTTACGGAATTTTGTGAAAAGCGCCTTAAAGGCTTGGCTCCTGAAAGTAGAGCTTTGAGGAAAGATAAACCTGCAGCAACAGCATCCAGTTTTACAGCAGAAGAATGGGAAAAAATTGACGGTGACATAAAGGTATAGACTGACGCTGGTTTTTGTGACATTCTCATATTGCATATATGTCTCCTTCCCTTTTCTAAAATCCTAGGCTTCTTTCTTTTTTGTCAGTGAAGGGCTTTTAGTGGTATTCACTCAGGTAGTATTGGTTGCTTCTCAAACCCAGGAGAATATTGTGAATGTGTATGTTTGTGTCTGTACGCCCACATGTGTATTTTAAATGACTGTCCTATCAAAGAAACATAATTCACTCACTCAGCTTCTATAAATAGTGCTACACAAACATGCTGGTTTGTAATTTCTTTTGTACGATCCTGGTTATTTCCTCGGCATAAATTACTGGAAATCCAGTTGCTTGATCAAAGGATGTTGAATAATTCGAAGGCTGTTGAAACACATTTCCATGTTCTCAGAGAAGTTGTGCCTTTGTTCTCTTTTCAGCAGCAGTATATACGAATGCCCATTTAAGGTATTCTTCACTGGATACTATAATATTTTTTTTTAAGATTTTATTTATTTATTTATTTGAGAGAGAGTGTGAGCAAGCATGAGTGGGGTGGGGGTTGGGGGTGTGGTGAGGGGCAGAGGGAGAGGGAGAAGCAGACTCCCTGCTGAGCAGGGAGCCCAATGCGGGGCTCAATCTCAGGACCCCAGGATTATGACCTGAGCTGCAGGCAGACACTTAACTGACTAAGCCAACCTATAATCATTTTTTAATCAACTAAATAACTGAAAAATTCGTGTATTTGTTTGATTACTAGCAACATTCAATTTATTTGTCCATCAGTTGAATTTCTTCTTTTGTTAATGGGCTGTATCTTTAGTGATTTCTTTTAATCAGCTTTATTGAGGTATAATTTACATTCAAACAAAAATTTAATGGTCTACGTTTCACTGAGTTTTGACACCTGTCTATGCTCTAAAACATTTCTATTACCCCGAAAAGTTTCCTTGTGCCCCTGTGGCAGTCAGTGCTGACCCCACATCCTGGTCCCTCGTAACCCCTGAACTGTTTTCTATCATTATGGATTTGTCTTTTTTAGACTTTCCTATAAATATAGTCATACAGTATGTGGTCTTTTGTGTCTTCTTTCACTTAGCATCATGCTTTTGAGATGCATCTATGTTGTTGCATGTCCATAGTTTGTTTCTTTTAATTGCTGAGTAGTACTGAATTGTATGGATATCTCACAGTTTATCCACTTATCAGTTGGTGAACAAAATGTTTTCCAAAGTGGCATTCCTGCCAGTAATGGATAAAAATTCCTGTTGCTCTGCATCTTGGTTCACACTTAGTATTGCCAGTTTTGTTAATTTCAGCTATCTCATTGTGGTTTTAATTTCCATTTCTCTAATGACTTTGTTGAGTGTCTTTTCATGTGCTTATTTGCCATCCATATATCTTCTTTTGTGAAAAGTCTTTAAATACTTTGCCCATTAAAAAAAACATTTGGATTATTTGTGTTCTTATTGAGTTGTAAAATACATGTCTTTCACACGTGTTTCATTAGACACATCTTTTGCAAATATTTTTGCAAAAAAATATTTTGCAGATTACCTTTTCATTTTTTGTACGGTGACTTTGGAAGAGCAAAGGTGTTTAATTTTGATGAAATCAATATTTCTTTTACAGTCTGTGCTTTGTGTCCTATTTAGGAAATCTTTGTCTAATCCCAGATCCCCAAGGTTCTTCATATGATTCTTTTAGAAAGTTTCCAGTTTTAACTCTTAAATTTAGGTCTAGGGCTGTTTTAATTTTGGGGTACACACACACACACACATACATATAATATAGATATCCAAGGTTTCAAGCACCACTTAATGAAAGATTATCCTTTCCCCATTGAACTTCTTGACATCATCATCAAAAATCAATTGACCATGTATGTGTGAGTCTATTTCTGGACTCTCTCTATTCTCTTTCATTAATCTAAATGTCTCTCTTTAAAACCTCATTCTCTTGATTATGGTTAAGTCTTAAAATCAGATAGTACAAGTCCTCCAACTTTGTTCTCCTTTTTCATAGTTATTTTGGCTATTCCTAAGTCCTTTGCTTGCCAGTTACTACAAAATAACTTGCTCGTCTTTGGGTTGGGATTGTGTTGAATTTATGGATCAATTTCAAAATAACAACTGACATCTTAATAGTGAAATTTCTGATCCATGAACATGATACGTTTTCTGTTCATTTAAGTCTTCTTTAATTTTTTGTGCCAGTGTCTTGTAATTTTCAGTGTGTAGTTCTTGCATATTTTTTGTTAAATTTATTCCTCAGTATTTAATATATTTTATGCTATATTAAAAGTTAATGTTTTTTAATTTCAATTTTTTCTTCATTCTAAGTCACCCTAGCTATGAAATTTTATATATGTATGTATGTATGTATGTATTTTTGGTGTGGTAAAATACATATCACATAAAACTTACCATCTTAAACATTTTTAAGGGGACAATTCATTAGTGTTGTTTTGACATTATATTCAGAGATTTTTAGGTGTGCAGTTCATTAGTGTTATATTCATATTGTTGTGCAGCCAATCTTCAGAACTTTTTTTTATTGTATAGAACTGAAACTCTATACCCATTAAACAATAGTTCTCCATCTCTCCCTCCCCTCAGCTCCTAGCAACCACCATTCTACTTTCTGTTTCATAAGTTTGACTAATCTAGAGACCTCATATCAGTGGAATTTTAATTTCAATTTTTATTTGTACATTGCAAGTTTATAGTTACCTGACTGATCTTTTTATATTGACTTTGTATCCTGCAATCTTCTTAAATTTACAAATTAGTTCTAGTAGCTTTTTTGTAGATTCATTTTCTTCCATGCAGGATCATGTCATCCGCAAATAATGAAAGATTTACTTCCTCTTTTCCAGGATGGCTGCCTTTTATTTCTTTTACTTGCCTTATTGCACAGGCTTGGACCTCTAGTACAATGTTGAATAGAAGTATAAGAACAGATATTCTTGCCTTGTTCATAATATTAGGGGGACATCATTCACCATTCACCATTAAATATAATGTTGGCTTTAGATTTTATGATGTGACCCTTTATAAGGTTGAGGAGGGTCCCTTCTATTCCTTGTTTGATGAGAATTTTTTTTTTAAGATTTTATTTATTTTTTTGACAGAGACACAGTGAGAGAGGGAACACAAGCAGGGGGGTGGGAGAGGGAGAGAGAGAGAAGCAGGCTTCCCGCTGAGCAGGGAGCCCGATGCCGGGCTCGATCCCAGGACACTGGAATCATAACCTGAGCCGAAGGCAGATGCTTAACTGAGCCACCCAGGCGCCCCTTGATGAGAATTTTTATCATGAATGGATATAGAATTTTATGAAATGCTTTTCCTGCATTTATTGAGAGGAATGTAAGATTTTCTTTATAGTCTATTAATAAGGTAAATTATGTACTCTGTTTTCAAACGTTATACCAGTCTTGCATTCGAGGATAAACTCTATTTAGTCATGTTGTGTCTTTTTTATATATTGCTGGAATTTTATGAAGGATTTTTGTGTCTACAATCATGAGAGATATTAGCCTGTAGTTTTCTTGTAATGTCTGGTTTGGGTAATAGGGTAATGCTGGCCTCATAGAATATGAGTTGGGAAGTGTTCTCTCTTCTTGAATTTTCCAGGAAAGTTTGTGTGTAATTGCTATTATTTCTTCCTTAAATATTTTCCAGAATTCACCACTGATGCCATCTGGGCCTCAAGTTTTCATTATAAGAAAGGATTTGATTATGAATTACATTTCCTTAACAGATACAGTGCTATTCAGGTGATCCTTAGAGTTCTCTCTCTCTCTGGCTCCCTCTTCTTGGATATACTGCACCCTGGATCTTTGTAATCTTTACCTCCCTGAAGCCTGAACTGTGTTTTTTTGAATTCAGTGAGACCACAGGGCTGTTTGGGTTTCCTTTCCCTATGCTATAGCCTGGAAATTACGGGCAGTAAATTGGGGCCAATGCAAAGCTTCCCTCATTTGTTTCCTTTCTTTCAAGAATCATTGCCCTGTGCTACCTATTGTCCAGTGTCTGAAAACCACTGTTTCATATATTTTATCCAGTTTTCTAGAGTTTAAGCAGGAGGGCAGATCCAGTCCCGTTACTCCATCAGGTCCAGGAGGAGATATCCCTTTATTGATGTTTCTATTCATGTGTTCCTTATTTATTTGTAATAGGTCTGTTGCATATATTCTAAATTTTCCTTCAATTTGTCATTAGTCTTTTAAATCTTGTGTATAGTGTTTTTCATGTTTATTCATTAAAAAAATTTTATCCCTTGGTTTTATCCCTTCTGTTTTCTTGCTTTTATACTTGAGAAAGCTTCCTCTCCACCAGATGCATATTTACCTGTATTTTCTGAGTCCTTTTGTGGTTTCATTTTGCTTAAGAAATAACTTCTTAAAACAGATTCTGGAGAAACAGTTTTTTGTTTTACTTTATTTTATTCAGCATATTTTACTGGATTGAATAATACATTCGAAGACAATTTTGAGGAATAGGTATTCTCTAACTCAGAATGCTATGTTTTTTTAAACTTTCAGTTTTCTCGGGGCGCCTGGGTGGCTCAGTTAGTTAAGCGTCTGCCTTGGGCTCAGGTCATGATCCCGGGGTCCTGGGATTGAGCCCCTGCATCGGGCTCCCTGCTCTGCGGGGAGCCTGCTTCTCCCTCTCCCTTTACTGCTCCCTTGCTTGTGCTCTCTCTCTCTCTCTGTCTATTTCTTTCTGTCAAATATATAAATAAATAAAATCGTTAAATAAACTTTCAGGTTTCTCATTTTGCCATTTTATTGACTTGAAATTGAAAATCTGGTAATTAATCTACAAGTTAAAATAGCAGTTTATGTCCAGAGTTCTTTGGCTTTATTGTCCAGGGAATAACAGCGTAGTTTTAGTTGCAGAACCTGCTTTTTTTTCCAGTTGCGTGTTCTTTCTCAGTCACCTCTCGACTTTGCTTCCTCTCCCTTTCTTTCATGCTTTTCCCTGCCACTTCTTCCCCCGCCCCCCATGCTCTCTTATTTTTCGTCCTCCTCTGTAGTGCTTCCTTTTCCGTTTTACCTTTCTCCCCTTACTGTTTTTCTGTTTCTTCTCCCTTTTTCACCTTTTTGCTCCCATTTTGTTCCCCTGCCTCCTGCATGTTTAGGACAGAAAATATAGTTAATCGCTGTATCACGGTGCCTAATTTAATATAGTGTCTGACAGATATTAGACCCTCACTGTATAGCTGCTGAATAATAATAATAGAATTTCTCAGATAACAAATCTCTCACTCAATTTCTTCCTAGAACCTGTGACAATTCAGTTTAATAAACATGATTATGAACCTGTTATGTGCCAGACATTGTGCTAGGTTCCTGAACCACAAAGATGAGACTATGACATAAGGTCTGCCCTCAGGGAACTTACAGAATGTGAGAGAGATGAACAATAAATGGCTTATTTTAAATCTGTGTTAGGGCGCCTGGGTGGCTCAGATGGTTAAGCGTCTGCCTTCAGCTCAGGTCATGATTCCAGAGTCCTGGAATCGAGTCCCGCATTGGGCTCCCTGCTCCTTGGGAGCCTGCTTCTCTCTCTGCCTCTCTCTCTCTTTCTCTGTCTCTCATGAATAAATAAATAAAATCTTGAAAAAATACAATAAAAAATAAATAAATCTCTGTGTTAAAACATGGAGGAGGAGCATTTGTAGCCCAACCAGGTAGTTCAGGGAAAGCTTGTTGGAAGGGATGAGAGTAAGCTTGCAAAATAATAGAAGTAGGAAGGGTAACACAAATATGCATAAAAATACTGAACTGCACAGTCAAAAGTGGTTAACATGATAAATTTTGTTTTGTGTATTTCACCACAGTTTAAAATAATAGTAGAAGGGCATTACAGATAGAATGCATGACCAAATTGTCACCCAAAAAATGAACCCATAGGAAACTATGATAATGTGTAATCCTAACACCTGACTAATTACTTCAAACTGTACGTTTATCTTCTTTTTTCTCCTGCTTCTCAGAGTTGGATATCGGAAATTAAAAAAGAAGAAAATAAAATGCACTTTCATGAAACTGAAACACTTCCAGCAACGGAAGATAATTTGCCTCCAGTTCGTGGTTCACATAGCCATGTTCATGTTAGTAAGGTAGGCCGTTCTGGTGTGAGGTGTGGGTGGCGGCGGACAAGATTGTTGTTGCTAAGAGAGCTAGCATTTAATGAGCGTAAGCACAGTGTGATGGCCTCTGAGCGTTGGGGATTATCTTTCAGTGGCCGTGTGCTGCTGCCTTCTTGAGGAGGCTGTGTTTCATCACTTGGACATCCAAATGAAACAACATTTCCCTTTGAAGGCTTGCTTCTCCAGCTCACTGCCTTTTCTCATTTTTTCTTTCATTGTGACGTCTGCTCTACTCTGACCAGTTTTGATGAACACATAAGATCCAATTCAGTGGGTGAGAATTTCAGGGAATAATTTTGTCTGTCCAATGGAGGCATAGAGGAAATAGTTTATTACATGATTAACTCTGGATTTAAAGTATTAAATAGATAACTTTCAAGCAGTTATAGATGTCATTCCTCTGTTTACTGCATGTTATTACCCCAGCCCCTTATGAGATTTCTCTGTGGTCGATCCCTATTTTGTCATGTAGACCTTTCCTTTTTCACCCATGGGTTCCATAGAGAAGGGGCCTGCTGGAATTTCAGGACCATTTATACTTAACTTCAACTTAAAACTGAGCTTCTGGGCATCCACCTGACCCTGATATTACAGAATCTAGCCATTGTGTCCTGGGCATTGGGAGTCTCTGGGCTTTCACGTGGATCCCGCATTCTCTTCCCTCTGCCCTACTTTTTTCTTTTATTCCTATCATTTCTGAAAGTTTGCCTGCTCAAGTCTCTTCATTCTGGGTTCATTCTTGTTATTCTCATTTCTTCTTTGAATACTCAATTTTATTTAAAAAACATCCATAGCCCTTCATTACAGTGCTCTCTAATAATTTACCTTCCTGCATCTTTTTCCTCCCCATTAAGAACTGCTCATGTGGGGCGCCTGGGTGGCTCAGTCGTTAAGCGTCTGCCTTCGGCTCAGGTCATGATCCCGGGGTCCTGGAATCGAGCCCCACATCGGGCTCCCTGTTCGGCGGGAAGCCTGCTTCTCCCTCTCCCACTCCCCCTGCTTGTGTTCCCTCCCTCGCCTTGTCTCTCTCTGTCAAATAAATAAAATCTTAAAAAAAAAAAGAATTGCTCATGTAACTGAGATACACCATAATCTGGTAAGGATGCCGCTATCTGTAATTAATATATTTGTATTTATTGAACACCCATTTTTTGCTAGGTCTGTGCCCTGAAAATATAACAGGAGGTTATGGTTCCGTGGGGTAGATAGACTAGTGGTACAGTGATTCTCAAAGTATAATCCATGGGCCTTGGTTCTCCTAGAGATTCTTCTAGAGGGTCCAGAAAGTCAATGCTATTTTTATTTTTTTTTATTTTTATTTTTTTAAAGATTTTATTTATATATTTGAGAGAGTGAGAATGAGAGAGAGAGAGGGAGCACATGAGAGGGGGAAGGGTCAGAGGGAGAAGCAGACTCCCTGCTGAGCAGGGAGCCCGATGTGGGACTCGATCCCAGGACTCCAGGATCATGACCTGAGCTGAAGGCAGTCGCTTAACCAACTGAGCCACCCAGGCGCCCGTCAATGCTATTTTTAGAAAATAATGTTACTGCTTTGCCTTTTTCACTGTGTTGACATTTGTATTGAGGGTGAAGCTCCTGGGCCTTAGCATGAAGCAAGGCACTGAGTGGCACCAAACTGTGCTAGTAGTTGCTGTTTTCTCCACAGCTCCCCATTTACACTAAACAATTCCAGTTTGACTTAAAAATGTCTTTGATGAAACAAAAAAACTTATTTTGTTAAGTCTTGAATCTGGAGGACACATCTTTTTGATATTCTGTGTGACAAAAGAAGTGTTCAAAAAGCACTTGACTGTGAGGTGAAATCCGGTGGTTATTTCGAGATTCGAGACTTGTATGAATGAGTCGCCACCTTAAGTCACCACTGTTTCCCGGAACAGGTTTTACTGGAAAGCGATTGACAGACAAATTATGGTTATTCAGGCTTGGGTTTTTGACAAACATTGTATTGAAAATGAATGAAGTGGGCCTGTCATTTTAAGGAAAACAACTGACGGTGTTTTTTGCTAGTGATAAAATCTGAGCTCTCAATTGCAATTTAAGAGAGTATTTCATATTTCACATCCTTATGTGGCTCTTAAATACCTGCTTGTGACAAAAAATTTCCCCTTAAGGGGATACCTAAAGACTTTTCTGATGAGCTCGATGAAGATATTAACAGATAAGATTTTTAAATTGTATAATGAAATGTAGGGATATTTGGAAGATCTCCATAACTCAAATGACCGCGCCCAGTGTTACAAAATTGTGCATGGGTAAACAACCCGTTCAAACTGGTTTTGGATTGTGACTTTTTTTTTTTAAGATTTTATTTATTTATTTGACAGAGAGAGACAGCGAGAGAGGGAACACAAGCAGGGGGAGTGGGAGAGGGAGAAGCAGGCTTCCCACCTAGCAGGGAGCCCAATGCAGGGCTCCATCCCAGGACCCTGGGATCATGACATGAGCCGAAGGCAGACGCTTAACAACTGAGCCACCCAGGCACCCTGGATTGTGACTTTTAAGAAACCACTTAAGAAACTGTTGATGAGCATAATGGGTATTGTTTGCTTTCCTCCCATTCCCTTCTAGTTCCCGTAGTGGGCATGAGACCTAGGTTGGGCCACTGAATAGCGTCAAGCTAGTGCTTGGTCAGGGATGGGCGCATGACCCAAGCTAGGGAATGCTGAGTCCTTCCCTGGGATTTCTCAAACTAAAGGTGAAAAGAAGAGTCACTCTCCTTCTTTCTGATTGGGAGGCCTGTGAGGTTATAATCCCATACTGCTTGTGGCCACTGTGCGTACTATATGGAAAAAGCAAGTAGCCAGCGGGGGGAAAATGAAATCTGTGGGCAGAAAGAAGCAGAGACTAGGAACAGGGGGAGAGTGGGAGAGCTGGAGAGAGAGAATATACTAGCCTTTATCTAGTAATACCCCTGCCCTTTCATCAATTTGGTTATGTAAGCCATAAAAGAAAGCCAAAAAATAATAGTTTATTCTTTTTTTAATAGAATTAGTCCAAGTTGGGTGTCTGTTGTTGCAAACAAACATCTCTAATGCACCAAAGTACTTATTCTTATTTTTCCAATGCCTAGGTTTTTTTGTGTGTTTTTATTTTAAGATTTTATTTATTTATTTGTCGGAGATGAGAGAGAGCACACAAGCAGCGGGAGCAGCAGGGAGAGGGGGAACCAGGCTTCCCGCTGAGCAGGGAGCCGGATGCCGGGCTCATTCCCAGGACCCCGGGATCAGGACTGGAGCCAAAAGCAGACCTTAACCAACTGAGCCACCCAGTTATCCCTCCAATGCCTAGGTTTTAAAAGAATGAATGATAGTTGATTACTTTTTTATTATAAGAAAATCACTAAAAATCACATTTCATACATGTGAGTTTTTAAATCTTATATACATACTTAAAGTCCTATAGATTGCTCCCAGAATTAACTACCAATTTAAAATCCTTTTTAACATGCTGTATGTTAATAGTTACAATACTTGAGTTGTTACAACTTCAAGAGTACCTATTTTTCTTATCCATTCAATTAGTATATCTTAATTCAGTACTTCACATTGCATTTATCATAAAACCTGCTAATCTTATATTAAATATGTCTCATAAAATGTAATTTTATTCTTTCAGGAAAAATATTCTAATAGCAGACGACCTAAAAAGAAAATTCCGAGGGATTATGCAGAATGGGATAAGTATGTTTTATATTTTGTAATACAAAATTTGTCACTGGAAAATTCTCTACCATAAAATATTGTAGTAACTTCTTATTATAAATCTGAACATATCAAGACTACAAAGTTACTTGGGGGTAGAGTACTAAGAGTATATGGTCTAAGTAATGAAGGATAGTTGGAAGAAAGGCAGGCAGGCAGGGACAAGCCCTCCACTCCCCCTAAGTGGAAACCACCCTTAAAAGGGTTTTATACCATCCTGGAAGGAGCCCTCCACCCTTTCCCACGTGATAGATAGATGACAAAAGCCTGATTGGATGACAGGCGTGTGGAGGGTTAATCAGATTTAAACAGCCCACCAGCCAGGCCATAAAAACCCCTAGACTTAGACACTCCAAGTTAGTCCAGGTTGCAACCCTCTCGGGTCCCCTCCCTTTTCAGGAGCTTTGTACTATCGCTCAATAAACTTTGCTGCCCACCACTCTTCTGGTCTACCCCTTCATTCTTCAAAGTGGTGTGACCAAGAACTATGGGCACTGAGGGAAAAGAAATCCTGTAACATAAGCACTTTTGATCATATTTTTTCATTAAATAAATATCTACAGCATCCTTTTGTTTATAAAAGCAACCAGAAATAATTCAGGTAATCCTATGCCCATCAAAAATAAAAAAGAACAAAAGCTTTAAATCGAGATAAATTAGTTACAATTTTAATGACAAAGTTCTGAACAGTTTAGGTCTGATAAATATGTTAAGTCCTCACTTGAATTGCATGGTTTCTAAGAGTGAATACAGATGACTTGTCATATGAACCTGTTATGCATTTTTGGAATATGTCTCTAAAGGCACAGTGGTACAAATATAAGAATATCACTAATAAATTTAATTTTCTTGCTTGTATTGTACATTTTTTCAGTTTTTTTCTTTCATTTAAGATTTGACGTGGAAAAGGAATGTTCAAAAATTGATGAAGATTACAAAGAAAAAGCTGTAGTAAACAACAAGTCACATTTGTCTAAAATTGAGACAAGAATAGACACAGCAGGTAATTGGAAAAAAAATAATTTCGTAGTTTTTACATTTTCAAAAATTGTAATAAAAGTTGTCAAACTAGATGACCTTCTCTTTAAGCACTACAGATTTCCATTATAAGTTTATGGATTTTCTCCTAGAGTTGACCACTTCTAACAAATTCAGTTGCATCCTTTAACTACTTAATTTTATATGAGTAATAGTTACACTACTTAAATTTAGTAAGACTCAAAAATATAAACCTAGTGTTTTACTATAATTTGTTTTTCATTCTATTTTTCAAATCTTTTTTCTCCAAATCCCTCAATTTTTTTTTGCCTCAAAACAAAAAGATACAGCAGTTTATTTGTTTTCACTGGAAGTCTGTAGGTGTATAGCACCTTTAAAGTGAAATAAAACCAATAATAAAAGAAATCTAAACCCCCCAAAACTGTGAATGATTTAAAGAAACATTTCCTAAACTTAGGAAACCTTTATTTTATTTACTTCACAATTTACTGCTGCTCTTAAAATAAGCATTCTTGGATTTAAACTTTTAAAAAATTCTCTTCAATTATATTTTTATTTATAGCAGATAACATTTACTTCTAGGTCTAACTGAGAAGGAAAAGACTTTTCTTGCTACTCATGAAAAGGAAAAAGGAAATGAAGCTTTCCATTCAGGAGACTATGAAGAGGCTGTGATGTATTATACTAGGTGAGCAGATTTTTGTTGTGGCTTATGTTGCCTTTTTTTTTTTTTAAAGTAGGCTCCACACCTAAATATGGGGCTTGAACGCAGGACCCTGAGATCAAGAGTTGCGTGCTCTCCCAACTGTGCCAACCAGGAACCCCTTGTTGGGGTTTAAACTTGCCATTTAGGGGCGCCTGGGTGGCTCAGTCGTTAAGCGTCTGCCTTTGGCTCAGGTCATGATCCCAGGGTCCTGGGATCGAGCCCCGCATTGGGCTCCCTGCTCCACGGGAAGCCTGCTTCTCCCTCTCCCACTCCCCCTGCTTACGTTCCCTCTCTCACTCTCTCTCTCTCTGTCAAATAAATAAATAAAATCTTAAAAATAAATAAACTTGCCATTTAAAGAACATGATAATGTTTATATTTAATTGTTGAAGTGACATAAATAAGCTAAAAAGTCTGTCAGAATCACTGAAGATATTATACTTATGATTTATCATAAATTCACTTGTGTTTGCCTTGTTTTTCAGTACTTTTCTCAACCCCTTAAGCTTCCTGACCCCCAGTTTGACAGAGGTCCTTTCCTATTTTCCAGAGAAAATAGAAGCCATCTGAATGGAACTCAACAGAAACTCCATATAGCATAGAGGTTAAGAATTCAGGTTCTGAAAAAAAAAAAAAAAAAAAAGAATTCAGGTTCTGCAGTCAGAGTGCCTGGATCTAATCCTATTACTATGATGCTACCTCCCACCACAGGGCCTTTGCATATGCTGGGTCCTCTGTGTAGAAATCCTTTCTTATTATTATCTAGTTAATTCAAACTTGCCTTCAGATCTCATTCCATGCTTCACTTCTTTGGGGAAGTCTTCCTTTGCGCCTCCCAGACAAGGTTAAATTTCCACCCTACTCCACTCCTCCCCACCCCTGACTCCCAAGGCAATCTTGCCTCTCCTTTGTGGTACTTGTTGGAGATACAATTTAAGTTTGTGTGTTTTGATAGTAACTGGACTGTAAACTCTATCAGAGCAGAGCACCCTTGTCAGTTTTCTTATAACTTTGTATCCCCAGTGTCCAACAAAGTACCTGGTTCATAGTAGATATTCAATAAATACTTATATGCACTTTTTTAAAATAAAGATTTTATTTATTTGAGAGAGAGAGAGAGCGCATGAGTGGATAGAGTGGCAGAGGGAGAGGGAGACTCAGACTTTTGACTCAGACTCTCCTTACCTTTGACCCTGGGATCATGACCTGAGCCGAAGGCAGATGCTTAACTGACTGAACCACCCAGGCGTCCACTTACATGAACTTTTGAAGCTCTTAACAGTCAATGAAAAGTAGACTAATTTCCTAAAATATTGTTACAAACTAATTGTGCTTATAGAATCCCTTATGCTATCTTAGAAATAAACTCTCTATGATCTTTTTTTCATCTTTGGAAGGAAGGTTTTTTTTTCAATGTTGCTTCTCTAAAGAAGTTTGTCTCCATGTTTAAGTGAACATACAAGGTAAAGAGGCTATTAATCTATTTCTCTTTCAGTAATGTCTTCCCTTTTTAGGCAGGTGGATGTCAGTGCTGATGTTGTTCTCTCTCGTAGATTTCCACCAGTAGAGAATCTCTTAGTCTATTACAGGGAACACAATTTTTCCTCTTTTAAGAAATCAGAGTGGTGAAAAATTAAAGCAGCATAGCATTAACGGAACTCAGACTGCCACTTTCTGACATTGGGCAGATTCCTCACCTCTCTTGCCTCAGTTTCCTCAATGTGATGAGGTTGTTATAGTGAAGTAGTTCAGAGTCGCTGTGAGAATTCAATAAAACAACACACTGAAAGGCAGGATAACATGGTGGTAGTGATAGCAGGTGCTGGAGTACACTGAGTTTGAGTCCTGCCTCTCATTTACTAGCTTGTGACCTCGGGCATGTTACTTGGCTTTTCTGTCACATCTGTTTTTTTCATCTGTAAGATAGGAAGAGCAGTAATACCTCCTTCATGGATTATAGTGAGGATTCAATGAGTGTGGTGTTTGTGCTTGGCAGGTGGGAGGTACTCAGTGTCAGGTACTTGTATTAGTCATTCTTACTTGTATTGTCTGTCTTTGGTCTCTACCCAACCCTGTGATTTCTTTATATTCATCTTTAATGATCTTAGTAAACTGCTACTTTTTGTGGCTTTTCCCTTTTCATTTTCTATTCTTCTTCTGGCTTTAGAAAATTCAGTGCACTGATACCCTTATCTTTCCTAAACCTAGGAATACATTATTTCACTCCAAATCAACTTATTAAGCAACAACTGGGGAGGTTTTAAGTCCTTCTTTTCATTAGTTATTTTGCTTTCATACCCTTAATGTAACAAAATTTCCTCTCTTAAAGTCTGTATTCCTCAGTTACTACTACTCTCCTTTGTTTCCTTCAGTTAACTTTTTCTGATTAAATTATGATCATTTCCTCCCAGTTAAATCCGCTTTTAGATTACAAACTAAACTCTTGTTTTTAGATTACAAAGTAAACTCACCATAGCAACTTAATAAAGGATATTAGTTGTGGTTGATTGCTCCATTTTTTTTGTACTAGGAAATTGTCCCCAAGGAGTCAAAATAATGTATTTGATGTTAACTAAACTGGTGTTTTAGGAGATCTGTGGGTAGGTAGGTTACCAGGTCACTTCTAAAGCCAGGGTCAACCTTAAACTGCTTACCTGGATATTCAGCATCTGTCTAAATATTGATTCAGTATGTCTATAGAACTATATTTTATTACTCTTGATGATTCAGGCTGTACCAGTTTGCTAGGGCTGCCATAACAAAGTGCCACAGGCTGAGGGGCTCAAACAACAGAAATTTATTTTCTCACCATGTGGAGGCTGCAAATCTGAGATCAAGGCTGTCGGCAGGGCTGGTGTCTTCTGAGGCCCCTCTCCTTGGCTTGTAGGTGGCTGTCTTCTCTCTATGTCTTCAAGTGGTCTTTCCTCGGCATGTGTCTGTGTCCTAAACTCCTCTTCCTATAAGGACACCAGTCATAATGGATGAGGGTATACCCTCATGACCTCATTTTAACTTAATCATGTCTTTAAAGACCATCTCCAAATACAGTTATATTCTGAGCTGCTGGGGGTAAGGACTTCAGCATATGAGTTTGGGGGACACAATTCCACCTATAACACAGGCTATAATTGTTTTGTTTAAAACTTTAGCTGAGTTTTTCCTATCTTCTTATGTTTTCCTCTGGTCTACTTGTTGCCAATAAGTGTCTCTTTTGTAGGAGTATATCAGTGCTCCCCACAGTGGCGGCCTATAACAATCGTGCTCAAGCAGAACTCAAACTACAGAACTGGAACAGTGCTTTTCAGGATTGTGAAATGGTCTTGGAGTTAGAACCTGGAAACTTAAAGGGTAAAAAATATTCACAGAATGCTTTAAATTTACACCAGGATTTGTTCGACAATTTGTAGACACTCAACTATGATTATACTAAGACTATTTCAGATACACTCTAATTTCTGTGAATCATCACTTTCATAAAGTTACTTTTAACTTCAAGTTTAACTTGGAATTTAAATTCCTGGTTATTTGCACTGAAGTGGTCAATAATCCCAGGAGATGAAGTAAAATATGTTTTTAAAGAAATATCTCAGGCTTACATTTGAGCCATGGTGGTTTTCTATTTATCTTTTAATTTTTTTACTGTGGTAAAATACACATAACATAAAACTTACCATCTTTATCATTTTTCAATGTACAATTCAGTGGTATTAAATACATTCATATTGTTGTGCAGTCGTCATTATCCTCCATTTCCAGAACTTTTTTTATCCTGCATAAGTGAAACTCTATGCCCATTAAACAATAATTCTCTACCTTTCCCTCCTGCCAGCTTCTGGCAACCACCATTCTCCTTTCTGTCTCTATGATTTTGCTACTGTAGGTATCTCATCTAAGTGGAATCATACAGTATTTATTTTTTTGTTACTGGCTTATTGAACTATCCTTTTATCCAAAAAATATCTAAGTATAATTTAATATAAAATTTCTGACATTAATATAATAAGCCCATGCCAGAGCTCTAGAACCTTCTGCCAGTGGCTTTGTGGGCATTTCCACCTACATGTCCATAGACATTTTATTTCTTTCTTTTTATTTATTTATTTATTTGAGAGAGAGAGAGCAAGAGAGATTGAGCACAAGCGGGGTGAGGAGCAGAGGGAAAGGCAGACTCCCTGCTGAGCAAGTGGCCTGATGCGGGACTCAATCCCAGGACCCTGAGATCATGACCTGAGCTTAAGGCAGGCGCTTAACCGAAGGAGCCACCCAGGCGCCCCTCCATAGACATTTTAAATTAAATGTGCCCAAAGCTAACTATATCTTTTTACCAAAACCTGCACTGTGTTTGGATTTCCTGTCTCAGTGGCTGCACAACCTTGCTGTGGTCTAAGCCCGACTACACAAGTTAGACTCCACTCCTTTTCTGTTATCCAGAAGGAATCACTCCACAAGGGAGCGGCATAATTTATAATAGACGCTATTTCTTTAAATGTTATGTATTTGAGTAAATATAAACACTTAATTTTTTTCACATGGAATGTACCCTTGTGTACCCTCCTGCGCAAGCCATGGGTGTGCTAAGGGGAGATCCTGGAGCATCAGCCCTGACTGTCATTGCCATGGATTGCCCTCCTTTTACCAGCAAAATCCTCTTTGTCTGTAGTTTGTCTCTGTCACGGAGCATGGGTGGGCTCCCAGTTTTAGGACGTGGCAAAAAAGTTTTGCGATCTTCTGATGGGCCCACACCAACACTGTGCCAGGCCCTGTGCCAGGTCCTTGACACATATTAACTCCACTAATTTCACAATAGGTGAGTAGAGGTGCAGATACTATTGTTAGGACACTCAGTTTACAAAAGTGGAAACTGAGGCATAGAAGGATTAAGCAATTCATCCACAGTCACACAGCTAGCAAATGGCAGAGACAGGACTCCGCACTAGGCAGCAGACTCCAGAGCCCACATTCCACCACAGTGTTCATCTTCTGCCACCAGAATGACTTTATGTTTCCATTTTTCCTTGTTTGAGTAATTTCAAAAGCACCAGAATCTTCACTATTTAAAAAACAAACTGGATAGAGCCAAATCTAGTAATGAGGAGGGCTATAAAACATTAAGAAGTCTTATGTTTGCTTAAATGAATAACTTCATTTTCAAAACTTTATGTTTTACTCAAAATATAATTGTTCTAAATGCAGTGTGGTATTTCAATTCATCCTGCAACAGAAAAAGGCATTAGTGGAAAAACTGGTGAAATGCAAGTAAAGCCTGTAGTTCAGTTAATAGTATTATACCAATGTTAATTTCTTAGTTTTGGCAAATATTCCACAGTTACGTAAGATGTTAGCATGAGGGAAAGCTGGAAGAAGGTATATGAAAACTCTCTGTATTATCTTTGCAGTTTTGCCATACGCCTAAAATTATTTCAAAAATAAAAAGTTTAAAAAATGGTAACTATTATATCATGCCTACTTCTTTATGGTTGTTCCCTTCTGAGTAGTAATAGTAATAGCTAAACTTGTACTTAAAGTATAGTGTAACAGTTTTGATTAAATTTATGACAAAATGATTTATCCTGTAGGTTTTCATGGCTCATTCTAAGACTCAAATCAAGTTGGTCAAATGTATGTTTTAAAATAGCATATTAAAATATGTTGGACATAAATTTCTCACTTTTCAAAATTTCCAAGCCTCATTCTTTTCAAAATAATGATTTACTATACAAAGTTCTCTGATTATACATGGATAATGATGGGACTATAAAGGCATTCCTTATCAGTATTAAATAATTGTCGAATTATTTGAAATATACAGAAAATCTGATGCAAATTATCAAAGTGCTCAATTTCTGAACTGAGCCAACTTAATCATCAGGATTCTGTCGGTTCCCTGTGTGAAATACCGTCTAATCATTTTAGAGATTGCTATAGAGGCTTCCTTCGCTAATGGCTCATATTCTGAGCCATCTGCTGGTCAGCAATATACTAAATTTGAATAAAGGATTTTCTCAATTTTCATAAAGGGGCAAAATAATACTAGTGATGATTATTAAGATGTAAGTGTTAATGCTCTATGACCAGCTTCCCAATAGAGCTCTATAGTGTGGTGCCTCTGAGGGTATGGCCTCTCAGTGCTGGCAGGAGCCGGCAGAGCCTAGGGCTGCTCGAGGACCCGGTTGCTGGAAGGGACTGGTGCCTGAGGCAGCCTCTTTTTTTACCCCAGTATCATTTTCTACATGTGCAACAATACGAAAATGGGTGTAATTAAGCTTTGCCCACTTGCACACTAAACTGTTCTGTGCTATTTGCATTCTTCCACTTGAAAAATAGGTTCTAACCATGATACCACACATTAAAAAATACAACTTTTTTTTCCTGTAAATTTTCAGCTCTTCTGCGCCGTGCCACTACATATAAACATCAAAACAAGCTCCAGGAAGCCCTAGAAGATTTGAATAAAGTACTGAATGTTGAACCTGATAATGAGTTGGCCAAAGTAAGTATAGAAAGTGATACCTCACTTATTTCTATAGTTTGTGTTTTTTTTAATTTTTAAAAAGATTTTATTTATTTGAGGGAGTGAGCAAGTGAGAGAGACAGCACAGGGGCAGGGTCAGAAGGAGAGGGAGAAGCAGGCTCCCTACTGAGCAGGGAGCCCGATGAGGGCTCAATCCCAGGACCGTGGGACCATGACCTGAGCCGAAGGCAGTTGCTTAACGGACTGAGCCACCCAGTTGCCCAGTTAGTATTTCTGTATTTATGTTAAAATGACATCAATCTTGTTGGATGAATGATGTTGAGAATTAGGTCACAGCTTTAAAAACTAGGTATATCCCAAAAGAAAAAAAAAACAAAACAAAAAACAACTAGGTATATCCCAGATGCTCCAAAGTGTTAATATCTATTTGAAGTGGAAGAAAACAGGCTCTGAAAATGTCCAAAACTATAAACTTACTTTTGAAGGACAAATATTTATTTAGATAGGTAACATTGTTTATAAGGTGTACTTATGTTGATTCAATACATTTATATATTGCAATAGGATCACCACCTTGGCTTTAGCTAACACCTCTGTCACATCACATAATTATTTCTTTTTTGTGGTAAGAACAATTAAGATCTTGTCTCAGCAACTTCTAAGTTTAGAATATGGTATTGCTGACTCCAATCTCTATGCTGTGCCTTAGCTCTCCAGGACTTATCTACTAATTGCAAGTTTATGCCCCTAAGCAACATCTCCCAGTACCGTACCTCCCCAGCTCCTGGTAATAACCATTCCACTTTCTGTTTTTTTTTGTTGTTGTTGTTGTTGTTGTTTTTTAAAGATTTTATTTATTTATTTGGACAGAGAGAGAGAGAGACACAAGGAGAGAGGGAACACAAGCAGGGGGAGTGGGAGAGGGAGAAGCAGGCTTCCTGCGGAGCAGGGAGCCCGATGCGGGGCTCGATCCCAGGACCCTGGGATCATGACCTGAGCCGAAGGCAGACCCTTAACGACTGAGCCACCAGGCGCCCCTCCACTTTCTGTTTTTATGAGTTTGGCTTTTTTAGATTTCACATATAAGTGATATCATACAATAAGAATATATGATTTTTCTCTTTCCTGCAGTGTTGTAGGCAATGCTTTTCTCTGAGCCAATCTCAATTTATTATGCAGAGTGGTATAGAAGTTTCCTAGGGCTCCATGGCCATAGAAGAGTGCATGCTAAGCATGGCACCACTGACAGCATTCGCTGCCTGACTGAGCAGACTGACTGAGGTATGCACCCCGGGGGCTGTTTTGAGGCTTGATGAGTGAGGTAAGTGTAGAGAACTGTGAGATTTTACCCAACTTGCAAATTAACAAGGTGGCCTAGCAGAAGACACAAAGGACTCTGTTGTTCACACTACAGCAAACTGATGAGCTTCAAGTTCATGTCAGCTCCTCTGGCCCCCAAATCCCATGCGGGTGGTGCAGAGTGGCCCAGATAGAGCTGCACACTCATTGGGTTTGTATCATAGCTGAGGAATCCCAAACCTAGGAAAACCCTTGTCTTTTATCATGGGATACAAGCAAACCTGCCCAAAATTCTGTTATGGAGGGAAACATCTTTATTTTACTGAAGAGCAAACATACCTGCTCTCTTCTCTGAAGAGAAATACTCTCTCTGTTTTCCAAGGCTGTTCTCAGTAACAGACATCCTGGAAAAGATAATCCAGAACAACTGTTATTTATGCCACTACTCACAACATATTTAGAAATGTGAGAAGTCCATGGAGAACTGTCTTCCAGCAGTAAGTTGTCACTGTTTCTACACACACCTGTCGGGTTATCTGTCTCACTCTCAGTGGCAGCTGATGTCCCTAGTGTATTTGTCAAGTTAGCATTTCAGTGGATTAGGTTTAGGGCCCGGCTGAAAAACACATCTTTTTCCCATAGTACTTTCATTTTGTAGTGGTATATTTATTGAAAAGTTATCATGACAATATTCTAAAAAAAATTTGAAACAAGGAAAACCACCTTTAATGTCACTACCCAATACAATTTCATGTTTACATACTAACTTTCAGGCCTTAACCATTTATATCTTAACCATATGCAAAGATTAACTCAAAATGGATCATATACCTCAGTGTAAAACCTAGAATATAAGAGTTCTAGAAGGACACATAGGATAGAATCTTTATGACCTTGGATTAAACAAATCTTCCTTAGATATGACATAATGGCACAATCCATAAAAGGAAAAGTTGGTAAATTGGACTTCATCAAAATTTAAAAGTTTTGCTCTTTGAAAGACACTATCAGAAATAAAAAAAAGACAAGTCACAGACTGGGAAAAAATATTTGCAAATTGTGTATCCAACAAAGGACTTGTATCACGAATATACACATGGTCCCCAACTTACAATGGCTTGACTTAACAATTTTTTGACTTTATGATGGTGCAAAAGTGATAGGTATTCAGTAGAAACTGTGCTTTGAATTTTCATTTTTTTCTGGACTAGCAATATTCTGGGAAGGGGCAGTGGGCCACGGATCCCAGTGAGCCATGCGCTCACAGGGGTTAACCGATACAGTCATAACCATTCTGTGCCCGTGCAACCATTGTGTTGTTCACTTTCAGTACAATATTCAATAAATTACATGAGATATTCATCACTTTATTATAGAAGAGGCTTTGTGTTAGAGGACTTTGCCTCTGAGCATGATTAAGGGAGGCTACGCTAAGTTATGATGTTTGGTAGGGTAGGTGTTGTAAATGCATTTTCAACTTAAAATGGGGTTATTGGGACATAACCCCATTGTAAGTTGATGAAGATCTGTAAGAACTGCAAAGAACTCTTAAAACCCAATAATAAGAAAACAAACAGGCAAATAAAAAATAAGCAAAATGTTTGACTGTCAGACTCCACCAAAAGAGATCTGTGAATGGAAAATAAGCATATGGAAAGATGCTTAAGATCATTAGTTACTAGGGAAATTTAAATTAAAATCACAATACTGGGCGCCTGAGTGTCTCAGTTAGTTAAGCCTCCACCTTTGGCTTAGGTCATGATCCCTGGGCTCCTGGGATCCAGCCCCTGGTCGGGCTCCCTGCTCAGCGGGGAGCCTGCTTCTCCCTCTCCCCCCTTGTGCTCTCTTACGCGCTTTCTCTCAAATAAATAAATAAAATCTTTAAAAAAAAAAAACGGGAAGAAACTTTTGGGAATGATGGATATGTTTATTATGTCAAAACCTATCAACATGCATTTTAAGCATGTGACTTTGTCAACTATACCTCCATAAACTGTTAAAAATGGGCAATGGGGGGGAAGGAAAATGTTTTGATATGAACTTTCAACATTAAAAAAAGCATGTGTCGTATGATTTTATTTGTATAAAACTGTGTCTGTGTGTACATATGTGTAGAAACATATCTAGGAATGTCAGAATGTCATTGTTACAGAGTGGCAGGATTTCAGATGATTTCTTTCTTTTCACGCTCATTATGCTTTAACGGACATGTATGATTATAATCAGACAAATGAAGTTGTTTGAAAAAGAAAAACAAGATCGCCATAAAAAGTGTTGTCCTATGTATCTTTATCCACTTTTTTTTTTAAGATTTTATTTATATGAGAGTGAGACACAGCGAGAGGGGGAACACAAGCAGGGGGAGTGGGAGAGGGAGAAGCAGGCTTCCCGCCGAACAGAGAGCCTGATGCGGGGCTCGATCCCAGGACCCCGGGATCATGACCTGAGCCAAAGGCAGACGCTTAACGACTGAGCCACCCAGGCGCCCCTCTTTATCCACTTTTTAATATCTTTATATTCCTACCTGACAGAATGGTTATATTTTTAATTAAAGGAAAACATTTTCTTTAACATGGTGATTATGTTGCAGAAGACCTTGTCAGAGGTTGAGAGAGATCTGAAAAATTCTGAACCTGCATCTAAGACTCAAACCAAAGGAAAGAGGCTGGTTATCCAGGAAGTAGAAAACTCAGAGGATGAAGGTGGAAAGGACAGCAGAAGAGCACGGGAGGACGGCCGTGGAGATAAGAGTGAGACATCTTTCCTCTTTTGGTTATGCAAAAACCTCCCTTTTTATATGATGAACTGGCTCAAATTTTCTATTTCTACCAAAATTCTTAGTCCACCAGACTTTTTCTAGCTCTACCATGTAAATCCATAAACAAGTTTTTTCTTTTTTCTTTTTTTTTTAGAGAAGGAGAGAGACGGGGGGAAGGGCAGAGGGAGACGGGGAGAGAGAATCAAGACCAGCAGGTGAGCCCAACGTTGGGCTCCATCTCATGACCCTGAGCCGGAATCAAGAGTCAAACACTTAACTGACTGAGCCACCCAGGCGCCCCAAGTTTTTTCTTAATGTTTTTCTTACTACAATCTCCTAAACCCATTTTTCTTCTTAACCTGGCACCTTTCTCTAGTGTTCGACTCAATTCCTGATTATCATGGTATATTGACATTATTGAAAATTTGCAGGTTAACCTTAAATCCCTCTCCAAGATGATTGTTTTGTATATAGCTACTTGGTTTTAAACCAAATGTATTGACTTCACAGGGATGAATGCATTGTTGGGAAATTGCTATATATGTCTCTCAAAAATTTTTTTAAATATGCAAAAGAAATAGGTATAATTTCACTTCTGGTATAATTTTTTTAACAGAATCTAGACTAGGTAAAGCTTCATCTTCATAATATATAACAATGACAGTTACATCAGCTTTAAGGGGGAGGATGCGCCTACTCCCTTAACAAGGGTGGGGAGTGTGTCTTTACCCCTTTTCTGAGAGCCCCTCAACAACCAAAGGGAAAGTAACAGTTCTGAAAATTATTCACAGGCAAAAATTAACTTGTAAGCAATCTGACAGAATATTTTAATTTTGAGAGAGAAATATAAAATATTCAGTGCATTCAACTTAAAAAAGTAAAGAAGTAAAAGTTTTAATTTTTTTAGTGACAGAACTATAATGGAAAATATACAGCTCAAGACAAAACATCGATGAAATCAGGGTAAAGACAAAGGGACAGAAAAGAAGGGAAGAAGAGAGAAAAGTAAACACTAGGAGCACCAGGGAGATGGGAAAGGAAGAGAGGGCATTAAAAGGATGAAAAAGGGAGAAGTTAAAGTAAATAGTTTTTCAAGGATTGAGACTTACCTTTCAGACAGATTTTTAAATAAATTCTGGCAGCCAATATTGTTCTAAGGGTTTATATTTATCTTAAGATATCAAGCCAAGTATCTTAAAATTAAAGGAAATCATTTAATATTTTACCTGGAACAAGATACAGTATAAACTAGATCAGTTGATCCTATTTGTAAATTATTATTTAAATATTTACATATAGTAAAAGTGGACTTTTTTGGTATGCAGTTCTATCTCACAGGTGTATAAAATCACGTGACAGGACACAGAACAATTCCATGACGCCAAAGACTCTTTCTTGCTGTCCTTTGGCCAATTTCTTCCCTCACCTCAAACCTTGGTAACCATTGGTCTGCCATAAATTCTTCAAATTTTGGTGGTGGGGGGAGAACAGTTTCTCCTCTCCCACAGGGACTGTTACAATTGTTAGATCACCTAGTGTTGTCCCACAAGTCCTTGAGGCTTTCTTCTCTTTTTCTCACTCTCTGTTACTAAGATTGAAAAGTTTCTATTGATCTATATTCAAGTTCACTGATTTTTTAATTCCTGATCCCAAATGTACTGTTGCCCCCATTCGGTGAATTTTAAATTTTGGTTATTGTGTTTTTCCATTCTAAAATTTCATCTTAGTTCTGGTTGTTTTTTGTTTTGTTTTGTTTGTTTGTTTGATCTTCCACTTCTCTGCAAACTTTTTAAATCTTTCTATCCATTTCCGGAGTATTTGCCTTTATTTCTTGGAGCATGGTTATAATAGTCACTTAAAGTCTTTGAGAATTCACATCTATGTTATTTGGGGTTTGGTATTACTTAATCACCTTTTCCCTTGCCAAATGTGGAGATTTTCTTTCTTCCTCGTTTGTTAAGTAGTTTTGTACTGTATACTAGCAACTTTATTATGATATGTGATTTTCAGTCTTATTTAAATCTTACAGAGAATTTTTTTTTAGCAGTTAATCAATCTGGTTAGGTTTGGGTAACAGTTTTCCTGCCTAATTTCTGTGGACTATGGTTCTAATGTCAGTTTAGTTTCAGAACCTTTGCAGAGCTATTTGGATCTGTCCCACCTGTACACCACTCAGTGACCAGCCGTTGTCTGGGCAGTGGTCTTCCCCCATAATTCATTTCTCAAAACTTTTAGTATGCTGTTTAGGATCACATAATGTATGATGTGAGCCCAGGTCATATGCGATTGTTTTCTTGAGCTCCCCCTTCTCTGTGATTCTTTCCTACTCTTTCTGGCACCCATAGGTTTTCCTTCCTATTCCTCTAGTTAGAAAGGCAGACTTTTAATTACCCCTTTCTACCGCACACTTCCCATGACCCTGTACCTCCAGGACCGAGCAGCAAGAGGACAGAGAAGAACAGCAATGGGAACATTCTTGGGACCACAGTTTCTCTGACCAGAGATAAGAGTTCCTCTCCCTCAAAATTTGATGTAGCTGTTGGCTGTTACTACCACTGCAGCTGATATAGGATTGCCTGGGGGTTGGGATTGGACAGAAAGGAAAAACAAAACAAATAAAAGAAACAAGATTTTGGCACCAGCTCCGGATTTTGGACAGCCTTTGAACCAGGTTAGGAGATGACAGAGGAAAGAAACATGAGAAGCTCACTGCTGGTCTGGTGGCTTTTCAGGTTCTAGGCCCTTTTCCCAGCTGGCCTGCTACCATTTACTTTTCAGTGTCCTCATTTGGCTACTCCATCAATTCTGTCTCAGGTTTTTAGTTATATTTAGGGGGAGAGATGGGTAGAGTGTGTTTATTCCATCTTGACAGAACTGCCTTTCTCATTACTATTTTTTTGAAGGATTAGCACATTTGAAGAACTATAAAAGTTGCTTATTTAGGTTATTTTATTTAATCCTCAAGGAAGCTACAACCCACACTTTTTTTTTTTTAAGATTTATTTATTTGAGAGACAGAGAGAATGAGAGATAGAAAGCACGAGAGGGAAGAGGGTCATAGGGAGAAGCAGACTCCCCACTGAGCAAGGAGCCCGACGCGGGACTCGATCCTGGGTCTCCAGGATCATGACCTGAGCCGAAGGCAGTCGCTTAACCAACTGAGCCACCCAGGCGCCCAACCCACACTTTTATAGATTAGGCAATGGAAGCCTAGAAAGGTTTAGTTATTTGCCACATTTGCACGGGCTGTAAATCACATGGCTAGGACATGGCCCTAAACCTGTGTGACTCCAATGTCTATCTCATAAAAGTGGTTAGTAGATGCCAACTAAGGAAGTATAGGTTCTATAAAATCCAGACTGAACATCACCAGGCTACCTTGTCAAAGAAACAGATGTAATTTGGTGTTTATCTCCCTCGGGCTTACTGATGTTGTACCAAAACTCTTATCAGAAGCTGAACCTATGTTGAAGAGCAAGTGAGTTAAAGACTAATGTGATAATTTTTTATTAAAAACAAAAAAAGCATTGGAACTGAATAGACATTTTTCCAAAGAAGACATTCACATGGTCCATGGGTATAGGAAAAAGATGCTCACATCACTAATCATCAGGAAAATGCTAATCAAAACCACAATGAATCACAGACCTGTACCTCTGAAACAAATAATACATTACATGTTAAAAAAAAAAAATGAAGGGGGGGAATCGGAGGGGGAGACGAACCATGAGAGACTATGGACTCTGAGAAACAAACTGAGGGTAATCGAGGGGAGGGGGGTGGGGGGATGGGTTAGCCTGGTGGCGGGTATTAAAGAGGGCACGTACTGCATGGAGCACTGGGTGTTATACGGAAACAATGAATCATGGAACACAACATCAAAAAAAAAATAAATGGGAAAAAAAGAAATATAAAACATAAACAGAAAAGTATACATAGAAGAGCATGGATGTGGAAGGGGGGTTGAAGAAAATGTGGAAATTAAAGAATGTTAAGTCTAAAAACAAACCACAATGAGATATCACCTCAAATGTGTTTGAATGGCTGTCATCAAAGAGACGAGAGATAACAAGTGTTGGTGAGGATGTGGAGGAAAGGGGACCCCGTGCACTGTTGGTGGGAATGCGGACTAATGCAGCCACTATGAACAACACTCTAGAGGTTCCTCAAAAGATTAAAAATAGAGCTACAATCTGGTCCAGCCATCCCATTTCTGGTTATATGTCCAAAAGAAATGAAACCACTATCTTGAAGAGATATCTGCACCCCTGTGTTCATGTCAGCATTCTCAATAGCCAAGACATGGTAATGTTGCAGGATTTCTTTTCCCTCAGTGCCCGCGGTTCTTGGTCACGCCACTTTGACGTCTGAAGAGGTAGACCAGACAGTGGTGGGCAGGAAAGCAAGGTTTACTGAGCGATAGTACAAAGCTCCTGAAGAAGGAGGGGATCTGAGAGGGTTGCCACGTGAGTTTCTACGGCTAGGGGTTTTTATGGGCTTGCTGGTGGGCTGTATTAATCTGATTAACCCTCCACACACCTGTCATCCAATCAGGCTTTTGTCATCTATCTGTCACGTGGGAGAGGGCTCCTTCCAGGGTGGTGTAAATTCCTTTCAAGGGTGGTTTCCCCTTGGGGGTGGGGAGGGCCCGCGTCCCTGCCTGCCTTTCTTCCAACTCTCCTTCATCAATAACAACCTGAAGTGTCCTTCAGCAGATAAACGGATAAAGAAAATGTGAGAGACACACTCATTTAAACACTAGAATATTATTAGGCCACAAAAAAGAAGGAAATCTGCCATTAGCAAAAGCACAAGTGGACCTTTAAGACATTGTGCTAAGTGAAATAAGTCAGACAGAGGAAGAGGAATACTGTGTGAACTCACTTATGTGCAGATTCTAAAAAAAAGCCAAACTTGTAGAAATAGAGAGTGGAACAGTGGTTGCCAGAGGTGGAGGTTTTGGGGATAAGTTGGTCAAAGAGTACCAACTTC